GACACGCATCATCTTCAAGGCAACAAACAATTACGGAACGCAAGTGCAGGGTAGCCCGGTTTATGTCAGTGGCGGTGGAGGCTACTCGGATTCTTTGGTAGGTATGGGGGCCTCGGTATTTGGCCTGACCCATCTACCCCATCCACCTCAAGGCAATATAGACTACAATGGCTCAATCACCATGGGAAACAGCCATCAACAAGGAGGGTGCGAACCAAACCCATGCACATTCACAGACCTTACACCGCACTATTCTCAGGGAAGAATTCAGGAAGCGCCCAAACTGACGCATCTATAGTGCGATGGACCTCTCCCTGTCCACGGCACTTTTCGGCCACCTATTTTGTTCATAGTTTTCCCGACGTAGCCTGTTTTATGTTCAACTTTACATATAGAAAATAAGTTCTTAAAACCGTAGGCTAAATGTCATGGCATAGCTATATGTAGGGCTATTTGAATTGTTTTAGGTTAATCTGAAACAGGGTATAAGAACACAGTTTTATGATGTTTTTAAATTGATTTCGATTTAAAAGTTTTTAAATTGTCCTTATAGTCCACAATTTTTTTTCTGTTTTGCATTTTGCACTTGAGGGAGGATGCATATGAACATGTTTTTTTTTTTTTTTCAACAGTTTTGTTATACAGCGTGAGCTCGTGTTTTTCTCAGTCCTTCAAATGTATTTATTTGTTTCCATGGACAGTAGATTGTTTGTGTTATGTAACCCTTCAGATATACAGAAATGGGTAAAAGGAAAAATGCATCCGGGGATTTTCGCAGTCATGTCAGCGCTTAAACGCATTGTCAAGTGCTGACAGGCAAGACTGTTTATCAAAGGTCAGTATGTTCGTATATTAATCAATGTTTGCGAATGTTAATCATGTCTTGCTCAAACAGTCGAAAAAAACATCCGATCAGATACTTTTTATTTGTTCGAATATTTTTGATGTCACATATTCCATGCTGCTCCACCTCTGAAGAAATAAAAGAAACTAACTGACGAGCTTATATTGCCTTCGTAGAAACTCAACAAAAGCATCAAAAATATACAATTAGCAATCAAAATTCATAATCAGCAGGTAATTTGCTCAATGTACGTCACTGTTTGGTTAAAATGAAGTAAAATTTAAAACTTATTTTGTAATAAAAAGATGACTGAAAGAAATTTGTATAAAGGACACAAACAAGCAACTTTTGCATATATTTAATGAGTGGTGAACCGTCATTTCCTTCAGTCTTGCAGTAGGCCATGTGAAAAGAGCAACCAGGTCCATCCAGTGGCAGTCTCCTATGGGCCTCCAGCAGTGCCTGTGGGAGTAAAAAAAAAGTATTTACAACTCTGAAATGCTCAAGTCCAGTCCCTTTTTGGGTTAACAACAGTGAAAGAAAAAGAAAAGTCAGATACTGCATAAAAGATAATGCTATTAGTAAAATAATGCTAATAAGAAGAACGCAGAAGTCTCAGAAACAATTCAATTGAAATTTTATTCAACCATAATCAGTACTCGAGACAGACATACACAATTATTCCTTAACAATTAATGTAGAGACGCTTTATTTAATATCAACAATGTAGTTTTGTAATTTCACTTTACAAAAAAGGGGATTGATTAACAATCTCATGCAGTACACTGGAAACACAAGTCACACGTAACACAACAGCAAGCAAAAAATATTAATTTCCAAATATTAAACAGTTTAATTTTTGAAAATATATAGGCAAAGAGCTTTTTTTCACTAGCCTATATGTTTAGCATATACATGGCTGTACGACGTAATTATATAAATCACTGCAACACTTGTAAAAATGCATTAATCGTAAAATGCCCTAATTCGGTGCCTACGTTTACCAAAACAAGTCAGAACAACTGATTTTCTCGAGCTTCCGCGAGACATTGGGAATATCTAGTTCACGCCATAAAAATCAAGTTGATTGATTTAGGGACATTAAAGATGTAGCTTCATGGGGGAAACATGGCCATATTTTCAATGACTTGGAGTTATTGCCAACTTCCATAACCTCATACTCTCACATTCCTAAGGATGCCTTTATCAAAACAAAAACAGCGCGTCCTTTTATCAAATTATGCAATATAAAAGAAAATTACTTACTCTTCGATAGCAAAACTGTTCCTCGAAAGTGGACGGACTTTAAGTCTATATGAGAGAGATAGAGGCAAAACTTTGTTAAGGAGCCTCTCGTGGATTTGGAGCCTACCAGGATTTGATTCGCGAAGAGTTAGAAGATTTAAATGTGTTTTGGTGGCATGAGACTGTCATACCCTTTGGCAAGTAAGATTGATCGCGTGCAGGCTTCTCATTGTTTAGTATAGGCTAGGCACTAAAACAAACGACTAAGTACTAATTTTCTAAAGTTTAAACATAATATGCATATAGGTTGTATTCAGCACAAAAAATTTAAATAATATTAAATAATTCAAACTTTTGCTTTACAGAAAGCCAACAATAATCATAGATAATGTAAGGTTAGTAGATTCAGCTAGAGCAGAGCAGGAGTTTGTATGTGATAATACGTTTTTAGTAGGAGTCTATTTACTCTAATCCACACTGCTCAAAAAAAAAATCTTCTATATATGAAAACATCCAACACTAAGCGTTTTACTTTAAATATTTACTCAGAACGACGTAGGTCTCCATCTTAGAGAGCATAATTAAATATACAGACTTTTAATTTGTATTTTATATTGCATGGTATATTATAAATATTTATGATGTATTCTACCATATATTTCAGTGCGATCATCTTACAGAATGTTCTGTTACATATAAAGCTGTACGTTTTTGTCAAGCCAGTGTATCCTAAGAATCGATAGGCGGAACGTTACGTTAATTTTGGATGGGGGAGGGCCATTTGTGATACCAATGCATTTATATGCAGTCTTAATGGTAGGCTAAGTATTTTCAGGTCACGTGAGATTAAAAAAACGTCTCTGTCAGTAGCCTATAGCAGGCGATAGCAATAACTTATTTGGCTAATGTATTTGAGCAAGACTGATCCACTCAGGCTACTTTATTTGTGATACGAATACGGACAGAATGCACGAAGGGAGATGGGAGACTCTAGATGCACCGGCGACCAGGTTTGAGTCTGACTAGGAAGCTTCAGGGCCATTGCCTTCACCATGACAACGATGCACATTTCAGTGACCTCCTCCTTGAGAGATGAGTTGCTGGAAGAAGTTTTTCGGATCGAGGTCTCAAGCTGGATCCTTTTAATAAAACCCCAAATTGCCATTGGGTAGAGGTAATCATGTGACATGACTTTTCAGACTTTCCAGTCTCTTTTAGAATTCAAAATTGTCGATAGGCCTAGTGAGCGGTCCACACATGAATAGTGAGGCTACGTATGTTGAAATAAATAGTTTTTTTATGTTGTTGTTTTCTTCAAATAGCCGGCATAATTCAGTTGAGAGCGAAAAATAGACTTCAGCGAAGCCAAACTTTCCAACAACTTTCCCTACCTGCGCTCTTGGGGCAAGAGACAACAGTTTTACAATGAATTACGAGTTTGAGTGCGAGACAGGTTTCATCAACAGTCAGCCATCGCTAGCAGAGTGCCTATCTTCCCCCCCCCTGTTGACGACTCATTTCAAAGTCATCAGTCAAAAGCTCAGCGCTCACGAACCTATACCCTCTTATCTTACCTCCTTTCGAGCACACCACCCCAAGATTATGCCTCAGGAGTCAGCCAAGCCATATAGGGCCCCGGCACAGTATAGATGGGGGAAGCCCACTGTACGCTAATTATCTGACCCCGGAATACCCGTGGATGAGCGAAAAGAAGACCATTTGACTACTCCTCATTGACTAGGAGTCATTTGCTTCTCTCCAAAAGGTGAGTTTAGGAAAACTAACCGAAAAGAGAACTAAGATCATTTAAGGTCTGAGAGAAAAATGAGTCATATCATCGTCATATCCTTCTTTGCACTATCCTCTCGATGTTTATCTACAGTCTATGTGAAAATTATATAAAATGTTTGACTATCTAGTTTAATTCGAATCAGTGAGGTCTTTCTGATGTCTGACGTCTAACGAAGAATGATAGATAACTGTTGTTGCGCAAGGGACGCTCAGGCATTCATTAGAAGATGCTGGTCGGTACGCACACAGTGGCGATGCTGTTTGCGGTCTACACTGTTTTTCACAATACTTTTTAGTTTATAAGCTTTTTCGCATTTTACAGGTAACATTACATTAACATTACGATAGACAAATACTAGATATTCTTACGTTATTTTTTGTTTGTTGTTGTATATATTTTTGACTATGTAACAAAACAATTCGTGTGTTCCTTTTTTGACAATTTTTTCCAGGCTCACCCGAGCTGCCCGAGGGCGGCTTGTCTAGTGGAGAGGGAGGTTCGCGCCGCCTGAGAACAGCATACACAAACACACAGCTTTTGGAGCTGGAGAAGGAGTTCCACTACAGCAAATACCTTTGCCGACCTCGCCGCGTGGAAATAGCCGCGTTGCTCGACCTTACAGAACGTCAAGTCAAAGTGTGGCTCCAGAACCGACGGATGAAACATAAACGCCAGACCCATATTTCCGACGTCTATGGGGAGCAAAGCAAGACGACTGCCGTTGATGATAGTGGTGAACTGAGCGACGAGGACGCCTCTTTTTGTGGCCTGCTTCATGGTAGACTGGGTGTAGAACACGAGTCGAACTCTTTTCAAAACGACCTGTCAACACTCTCCGGGCAGCCCTGTTTGATAACGACATGCAAACTTTTGAAATGTTTTCTAACAGCTTTATGGAAAGAAGTCTGAAAGCTATTCCCAGTCAGCCTTGCTCTGCAAGGGGACAATAACAGACAACCGATATGCCAGACCGGACAACTGCGGTTCCCCGCATGTTATGGATTTCAAGATGTTTTCGACCGACTCACGTTTGTCTGATGCAGCTTCGCATACACTTTTCAATAAGTCTCTAAAAAGTCCAGATGATATACCAACGGGGTTTTATTTTTTAACGGATTAATTTACCACATTTTGATTTACAAAATGCAAACTACTGATAATCAAAGAGGACCAGTGGACAAATGGACGGATAATTCAGAAGTTTTTAAAGTTTTTGTTGTTATTGTTGTTGTTGTTATTTCCAAGATGAGTGATGATTATCATAACATATCGAAGGTAAGATAAGACCCGGGCGCTGTATTCAGTGTATTGCAGATAGGCCTAATTCATAACAGAAAGCAGTTTAGATTCCTTGAATTTTTATTGTCTGTTGCTTATTTTTGTAAGAATAAACACACTTTGTATGTATTCTATTTTAAAATAAAACACACACACACACACACACACACACACACACACACACACACACCACACACACACACACACACACACACACACACACACACACACACACACACATGTTGCAAATAGGCTAGGCCTATTTGTAAGTATACGAAACGTAAACACGTTATAATCAATACACTTGAACTAAATTAAAATGAATGGTCAGACTCATGTCTGAATGATCTGAGCAGACAATAAAGATAATTTGTGAAGAAAAGTCACACAAATAAAATGCACACAGATTTTATATTTTTACGTTTTTCTCACTTACATTCTGCAACAATGTAATTAGGGGCCATGGAATCAGCGTTAGGAAACTTTTATTTATTTAATTTCGGTTTTATTTAATAAATCTAATCCTAATTATTTATTTAATCTTCTGAATGAATGTAATCTACGTAAAATATTATTTTTTGTTTTCCCCTTAAACGATGCACATCAATAAACTCTATAATTATTCCCACCACATGTGATATTATACATACTGGTGTAAACTTTTCAAATGTTATATTTTAAGTATGGCGTCTTCGCCAATGGTGCGCTCTTTGTCTTTGACTCTTTTCTCCGCGGCGCGCGGGGAAATGCCTAGGGTGTTTCTTTCCACAACGAGCTCATAAATCAAAGTCTTTCAGGCAAGCTGACAGCACCAAGACAATCACTGCATGTGAAACGTCTACCCAAATAAGCGTTTTCACTCCCTGTTTATCATTGAGAAGATTTTGGATCATGAAGTAACCCACGTGGACGGTTAATAATTCATTTTTATTGCCGTTTTAACACCCGGCACAGGATTACACAAACCTCTCATAAACTATTTCATTGTGCGTGCCATATGCAGTTTGTCTTTATCTCTTTTAAGCTTTTTTATTGTCCTCATAACCTGACTGAAATAGTGTGATAGAAATGGTTTATAACCATTAGCCTATATTAAAAAACCCTTAATAAAAACATTTTTTAAATATAATTAAAGGCAGTATTTTTATGTTCCTGAACATCTTCCAGAAAAATATTGTCTTATGTGAATTGACTGCAGCCTATATGTTTTTTGTTTGTTTGCTTACTTAAATCACATTTTTGCTTAAATGCATACTGTCTATGTTAATACTCTGGCTTGCTTGTTATAAAGAACCATGATGTTAAAAGGAGTGTTAAAAAGAGTGATGGGAAATACTAGGTCGTCAGGGGCTTGTTGAAAGCGCCATTTTGAGTATTAAAAAACATTAGACATCTGTAAGAATTTTTTCCCATGTTCATCCACACGGGGCGCATGCCTCCCTGCTCCATTATGGCTATGAGATTGAAATAGCCTATATAGGCTATACTCTCTCTTGCTTATGATAACTGATCGCTTTTTGACCACTGATCACAAAACAAGTAGGCTAATAAAGATAATTTTCACCAAAGATCACAGAATCATACATAAATACATAAATCGTACATAATTCGCTTATAGCAGTAGGCTAATAACAGTGCTGGCTAGCACAGACTTTTTAAGAAAGGCTCACTCTTATTAAATTCTGAAAACATTCTAATGCAAAGATAGTAACAGAAATAATTAGTAATCAGTTCAGTGTTTTTATCTTTTTGACAAAAGATGATGCGTAGCCTACAGCCTAACAGCATCACAAAGTAGCCCAATTTACTCAGGCTGAATAAACCATACGGAAACAAAGACATTCCCTTTACATCATTTTCCTGTGGTTCATCTTACCTTACGTAATTCTTCAACATATTTCCCCACGACAGTATGTTGATGCTGCCTGGACGTTGTCTGTGAAACACTTGCTCCTCTGCCAGCGAATCCATCCTTTCAATCGGGGGTTAAGGTTGGCCTACGTCATGTTGATCGACAAGAGGTCGGCATTTACATAAGTCTGGTCTTTAACGACAACCTGTCAGTGCAAGGCCACTTCAGATCAAGATGAGACAGAGCAACTGATCACTGGCTGACCCAGCCCACGTGACTGTCACTGATCATTCATATCACTAGCGCGCGGGCACCCCCAATTCACGACTGATTGAAGGAGGCAGAAGGGTGGCTCGGCACAACCCCGGGTGAGTGGTGAGACGTTAATCAGTCCCGGGGCCCAAATATCTGTCAGTGTGGCAGCCACGCGCAGAAACGCACAGGAAGATGCTACAATGAGCACATTCTTAGATTTCTCGTCCATAAGTGGTGGTGGAGACGGAGGTGGCGGAGGCTCGTGCTCAGTCAGAGCGTTCCATGGCGACCACGGACTTTCAACATTCCAGTCATCGTGTGCTGTTAGGGTAAACAGCTGCAGTGGGGATGAACGGTTCATGTCCAGTAGATCAACACAAGACGCGATTAACCCTCAGCCACACCAAGCCGGCTCGTATCAGTCCCCCGGGACTTTGTCAATTACCTACAGCGCCCATCCAAGTTACGGGACTCAAAGTTTTTGCTCCGGATACAGTCACTATGCCCTAAATCAGGATGTGGACTCATCTGTGAGCTTTCCCCAGTGCGGCCCTTTAGTTTACTCTGGAAATATTTCTTCCACTGTTGTGCAGCACCGTCACCATCGCCATGGTTACAGTGGCGGAAACGTTCACCTCCATGGCCAGTTCCAGTACGCCTCAGCCACATATGGTAATAGTCCAGATCAGGCGAATCTGACGTTTGTGGCGGGCTGCTCAAATCCGCTGTCCCCACTGCATGTGCCTCATCACGATGCATGTTGTTCACCTCTATCAGATGGCGTGTCCACAGGGCAGACATTTGACTGGATGAAGGTTAAACGGAACCCGCCAAAAACAGGTGAGTGCCTGTAGAACTTTTAAATGTCAATGTCTGTTTTTTGACTGATATTGTTGACAATGTATGCTACGATTGAAAATGACTTAAATGAGAGACTGAAATGAAATGCATGCGCATTTATTTATTTATTTTTTTAAAAAAATCTGTTTTTCGTCTCTCTCCAGGGAAAGCTGGGGAGTATGGATTTGGTGGGCAGCCAAACACGGCACGCACCAATTTTACGACAAAACAGCTGACAGAGCTTGAAAAGGAGTTTCATTTCAATAAGTACTTGACTCGCGCGAGGCGTGTGGAGATCGCGGCTGCTCTCCAATTGAACGAGACTCAGGTGAAGATTTGGTTCCAAAATCGTCGCATGAAGCAAAAGAAACGCGAAAAGGAGGGTATTTTGCCTAAATCTCCGTCCGAACTGAAGGATGGTCTCGAAAAACCCGAGAACGCATCCGAAAAGTCGCTCTCCGCACCTTCCACGCCCTCTCCCACTCCGCCCGTTGATGCCTACTCCTCGAATTAAACGGCGTTTGTTCTGCCAACCTGTTAGTGCAGAACTGTTAATCTTGTTTCAAGGTCAGAATCATTATGTGACATACAGAGACCATTGCACAATTTTGTTTCGACCTGAACCGTTTTGACCATTCAGTGTATTTCCGTGCTACTTTGTGTTATTGTGAAATGACTGTTAATAGTATTGGGCACCTTGTCAAGCACCTATATAGAACAAGTGGATTGTGCATTTCCGTGCACAGTAGCAAATGCTGCACCTTTACACATGTCTTTTGTCGGATTTACACACCACTTGTCAAAATGCCTACCTCAAAAACCAAAAGAAATAGCCTAGTGCAATATATTTAAGTAATGTATTATTAAGAGAGATTGGTCAACTGTAACTCTCGGCAAATGCTTGTTTGAAGATACTGACAACTTTTCTGGACTGTGCAGTGTTAAGTTACCCTGATGTTGTGAATGTGTTGTGTGAACATGGTGCGCGATTATTTTAAGTTGTCGTGGGTCATACTGAGTTTTATCAGTCGGAGATGTAAGCACAAGTCTCCGTTAGAAACATGATCAAGATACGGGTGAATTAAATGTGTGAACTAAAAAATTTTGAACGCTGGTCCTTTACTCTTGTAATAATGCCTGTCATGTCCCCCACACAGCCGCATTTAACTTTCAAAAATATTACTGACAGGCTACCTTTACAATAAAGCCGACCATCTACAAGTTAGGCTATATAAAGTTTAGATAATGTGTTCATTGTTGAGGGGTTTTTTTTTTCCTTTGGCTGGACCGTTATGTTTGAGTCATCGATTTGCATAATCTACCAATAGCTCACTCTCTGGCTCCGTAACTGATGTATGCGTCCGCGCGTTGTGTCTTCCTCAGGGACAAAAATATATTGGCACATGGTAAGCATGTTTATCCACGAAAGAAGATGCTCAGCCTACTGTCACCGTCATTCGTGATGACAACCCGATTGACCTGTCAGTTTATCGAAGGCAAACGAAGGACAAGGGGGTAAAAATTAACATCGATTAAATCATCTCAACTATCGACAAGAATGGGTCGGTCTTGGTCGGTCTGACCCCGTCCGTGTTGATGACGTGTGTTTCTTCATATCATATTATTTTTGTTTTATTTTGAGTGTCGAGTAGGCTAACAGAAGAATATAAAGAGCAAAAATTCTGAACAACAAATCTCTCCCCCCCCCCCCCCCCTTTCTCTCTCTCTCCCTCACACGTTGATGCGATTATAAGAACATTGCATGAGTAGCCTAATGTTTTTTTTAATATACAAACTGTATATTTTACCCCTACACCAACCTATAGCCCTAAACTTAGACCCATCACAGAAAACGTTCAGCATTTTTACATTTTTTAACAAAACATTGTCTGGTAGGCTATTTTGAGCCATTTTAATTACGAGGACTCTGGAAATGTCACCATTAACCATTTATGTTGTAATACCCACGTCCTTATACACATGTGTTCTATATATCACATCCCCTTACACTAACCATACCCCTAAACCTAATCATCATACAAAACTTTCTGCATGTTCACATAAAAAAAACCCTTTAATTTAATTGTTTTACAACCAGATTTACAAATGAAGACGTCCCAAATGGAAGTTTTTGGAAATTTTGTCAGGTTTTGATCACTTCTGGGTACAAATCTGTCCCCAAAAATTGTTAAGTAGGCACACACACACACACACACGTGCGCGCGCGCACACACCTTAAAAGTTCCGTTTAGTTAACTTATTTACTTCATTGAGTACAGAAAGCGCGACAGTCCGACATTTTCAGTACGCACTCTACACAATGGTCTTGATTGAGAATTCCCCTTTTCCTTAAAACCACCTGCACATGAGGGTTGCGTGTGAGTGTGGAGCCTAAATTTCTTCTTGTCCGGTTGCGAAAGTTCTAGACTAGATGCGTTATTCTGTTTAAAACTATAGGCTACTCGTATTAATGTATTTCCTAAGTGAAAATTATTAGTAGCCAATTCTGTTTAAACTTATTAACTGAGAGAAAAGTTTTCCATTCAACTTTTTGATTTTTGTTAAAATGTATTAACAAAGTAACCAAAATATTTTGGTAAAAAATAACCAAATGATAAAATAATAATAAAAATGAACATTTTACAATTAGACCTATATGAAACCGAAACATAAATCTGAGGAAATAAAGCCAAGTCAATTTAAAGTCAAGTTGAGATTTAAATGTCTTCATTTCGCGTCTCTAATCGCCAGACTTAAGGAAGGCTCGTGACTGTGAAAACATAAATACGATCATATTATTTTCCGTTTAGGCACGTCAATAAAAACGGGCTACAAAAAAGTAAGAAACGTTTATGCATCTTCAGCCTATATACATCTTCATATTTTGCGATATTTAAAGGTTATTTTGACATTGTTGCCTTTTTAAGGAGACTGATAACAAAGGATTACTGAAATATGTCACTGAAATGTTAAAATCAGACACTATTGTTATTATTATTATTATTATTTATATTAGTTATATTATTATGTTTTATATTAATTGAATATTAATTTAGTTATTTAAAGATCTCTTTTAAATTAAACTGTTAAATTAGCCTATTCATTCATGTTCTTATAAAAAACTAACAAGAAAAAATTCAGTTCTATTTATTATCCCATGATAATAATAATATAAAAACAATGCAATTGTAAAAAAAATAAATAAATAAAAAAGGCTATGTAAATATTTCGGTAAAAATTGATTCTTTCACGTGGATATGTAGGCTATATAATTGTAGCTTATGGGTCACTGAGAGTGACATTTTTGAGATCTTTTTAAAATTTTTGAGATCTTAACACTGAGTGAGTGCTATCATACCATAATCTATATCAAGCGAAAGAGGTCGTAATTTACTTATATTTAAAATGTATTCAAATGTATACGAAAAAAAGTCATGGCACGTTTACAGTATAGCCTACTTAACGCAATTCCATTTATGGCAGTCAATGATTCTATGCTACCTATAAATAAATAAAATCTATCAATCCCTTTCTTAATTAAATATTTGCCAATTGACCTTCTCTATCTGAAAATTAAAAGATTTTATGTGACTAACCATTGAATTATGAATAAATATAACAACAACACTGCAACACATGTACTGCACGCATTGCCATACAGTCTTTTTCTATGTCTGTATTTGTATGTAGCTGAAGGTGGAACACCTGTTGGTCACTTTGGATTGTGCACATGAGAGATACAGAGAGTGCAAGAGGGGAAAAAGCAGCAAGGTCATCTAACACTGTTGTGGGTTTGATGTTAAAAACTAATGTCTAACATAAATTCATTTTATCATTTGGACTAATTCTAAAATGTGTTCATTCTTTTGAAAACTATGCTCTAAACCTCAAAAAGTGCTATAGTTTTTTGTCAGCATATTTGGTTTAAAAAAAGTTACATTTCACTCAGTTCTAATCTGTTCTCCCTCTTTCTTAAAAATGGAACATATAACTTAAATATTGTTGTCACATATGGAAAGGTATGAGCCCAAATTAGTAAATCAATTAGTTTTCACATACAGTAGGTCTAAATAAGGCAAAACTAAAGAATAAAAACTAAAACCTTTCATTTTCCTGAGGTCTTACTTTGATCAGTCATACTCTTAGCAACATTAGCCTTAAGAGTCAGATAATCCAGCAAGCAAAACAACTTAATGCTAACCTAATAAGTAGAGTATCAAGCATGCACACTCAGAGACACTCTTAACAAAATGCATGTTTAAAGGGATACTCGAACCAAAGATGAAAATTCTGTCATCATTTACTCAACCTCAAGTTGTTTCAAACCTGTATGAGTTTATTTCTTATGCTGAACACAAAGATAGTATTTTTGAAGATCGATTGGAACCAAACAGTTGTTTGTCACCATTGACTCCCATAGTAGAAAAATAAAATACTATGGAAGTCAATGGTGCCAAAGTTACAGTCATTCTTCTAAACTTGAGGGTGAGTAAATGATGAATTTTCATTTTTGGGTGGAGTATCCCTTTAAGCAAAACATGCACATATGGCAAAAATGCACTTACTGTTATTTTATTTAAACAAAAAATGAAGGAATACTGGGACTGCAGTGGCAATATATTCACTTATCTTGTCTCTGCTCTTTCCATGTAAACAAAGAATTACATCTTATACAGGAATAAAATATATATAAAACATCTCTCAAATAATTTGAAGGGGGGGGGGGGTATTATATGCTTATTTAAACTTTATGACTTTCCCTGTGTTAAAAGCAATAGCATATACGAAAACATCTCCAAATGTCCATCCCTGCAGCTAACAATGGAAACTGCATGTTAGAGCAATGGACAAGACATGCTGTCTCAGGTTATTTAACACCTTAACTTTTCCATAGTCTAAGGATAGTGTTTTTGTGATTATAACATGTCCTTTCAGTAAAACAAATTGTGTAATGATAACTCACACGGAATAGACATAGACATGGACATAGACATATTCTCGTTGTCATACATGAAGCCTATAATTTAGCCTAAAATTGATGAGAGCAAAGCTGATGTTCGAAGAACATTACAGAGGGGTGTTCAAGCGAGAATCAGATCGAAAAAGAGGAAGAAATGGGGGGTAGAGAGAGGCAGACAGAGTAAAAAGGACAGAAAGAGAGAAGTCCATCCATCACACTGTCTTAACCTCACAGTGACCCCAGCCTGGCAGCCAATGAGGCACCTCTCCTCTGTGCAGGAGATCGGGTAACCGTGGAGATGGACTGAACGTTTTAGCATGCTCTTTTTGTGCGATCTGTCAACACCTCCCAGAACGTCTTGCTACAACTTAACTGATGTGAGTGCCACTACTTGATTGAAATGACTAGACCCACAATAACTTAAATACACAAAGCATCTTAGTTCATATCCATATAAGAACACAACCATGCATACGAGGAGGAAAAGGAATGCGCTCATGCACACAAACTATGGCCTATATTCATTTTAGAATATTTCTTATCCGAAAGGATTAGGCTTAACCCGATCATACATTTAGTAATAAACTTGTCTGATGCTTTTTTAATTGTTTGGCATAAGAATGGCTGTAAGGCAAACATTTTAGTCATATGCCTGTTACTGAGAGGAGTAATGGTGAATTGACAATAAGCTGAATTAAAGCCTTCTGATCTTCAAAACTATATGCAACCTTTGAAACCAAAACTCCACAGAGCTTCTGCAAATTCTTGTTCTAAATATATTTAAAATAGTCAACAGACCAATCAAAGGGCATGTATGGATAAGCAACTTT